CCTAATTGTAGAAATGGGGTCTCACTACGTTGCCCAGGCTATCTCTAACCCCTGGGCTCAAATAATCCTGCCTCAGCCTTCCAAAGTCATGGGATTACAGGCAGGAGACACTGTGCCTGGCCTCCTTTTTGCTCTTAACTATTCCTTCTTGTGGAATCATACATGTCATACTGTGATAACCATGTATATCACACTTACAGAGACCGTTTCAGTTTTAGATGGTTTGCATCACTGCCAGGTTATTAAATATTTTTTTTTTTTTTTTTAATTCTGAGACAGAATCTCTCACTCTGTCACCCAGGCTGGAGTGCAGTGGTGCGATCTCAGCTCACTGCAACCTCCACCTCCCAGGTTCAAGCGATTCTCATGCCTCAGCCACCTGAGTAGCTGGATTATAGGCACCCACCACCACACCTGGCTAATTTTTGTATTTTTAGTAGAGACGAGTTTTCACCATGTTGGCCAGGCTTTTCTCAAACTCCTGACCTCAGGTGATTAGCCTGCCTCGGCCTCCCAAATGCTGGGATTACAGGTATGAGCCACCACGCCTGGCTAGGTTATTGAATTTTGATGTAAGAAATAATGATTTTTTGGCCAGGTGCGGTGGCTCTGCCTGTAATCCCAGCACTTTGGGAGCCTGAGGCAGGTGAGTCACCTGGGGTCAGAAGCTCGAGACCAGCCTGGTCAACATGGTGAAACCCTGTCTCTACTAAAAATTCAAAAAAATAAATGGGTGTGGTGGTGCACACTTGTAGTCCTGGCTATTCAGGAGGCTGAGGAAGGAGAATCACTTGAACTCGGAAGGTGGAGGTTGCAGAGGGCTGAGATTGTGCCAGTGCACTCCTGTCTGGGCGATAGTGTGAGACTCCATCTCAAAAAAATAAATAAAATAAGGGAATAAAAGAAATATGATCTTTCAATGTGTCTCTCTTTCATTAGAATCTTATGAATGCCCCTGTATTGCATTGGAGCTTCAGAGGTTCACATCCCACATTCTAGCACATAAAAAGTCTTTTATCTGACCTGGCATGGTGGCTCACGCCTGTAATCCCAGCACTTTGGGAGGCTGAGGCAGGCGGATCGCCTGAGATCATGAGTTCAAGACCAGCTTGGCCAACATGGTGAAACCCCGTCTCTACTAAAAATACAAAAATGAGCCGGGAGTGGTGGCACCTATCTGTAGTCCCAGCTACTTGGGGAGACTGAGGCAGGAGAATTGCTTGAACCCAGGAGGCGGAGGTTGCAGTGAACCAAGAAGGCATCATTGCACTCCAGCCTGAGTGACAGAGCAAGACCCCGTCTCAAAAAGAAAAAAAAAAAAGGCTTTTATCTTTGAATTTATCACTGACAGTATTACAGCTTTAATGTCAAATTTTGGGGGGCATTTTCTTACCTTAAGAAAGACTGCCTGTCTAAAAAACGGATAGGATTTTAGTTCATGAGTAAGTAGTAACTGTAAATCTGATTGCTCCAAAGAAATGTCTAAATTCATTTATTTTTTATTTAATTTTGAGATGGAGTCTTGCTCTGTTGCTCAGGCTGGAGTGTAGTGGCAACATCTCAACTCACTGCAACCTCCACCACCCTGGTTCAATCAATCCTCCTGCCTCAGCCTCCCTAGTATCTGGGATTACAGGCACACACAACTATGCCTGACTAGCTTTTGTATTTTTAGTAGAGTTGGGGTTTCATCATGTTGGCCAGGCTTGTCTCGAACTCCCTGACCTCATGATCTGCCCCCATCTGCCTCCCAAAGTGCTGGTATTACAGGTGTGAGCCACTGCACTAGGCCAAATTTATTTATTTCAATGGAATTTTGATACACTGAATATGACTTGAAATATATAGGAGTTTTACTGACATTTGGGAACTCCTATTATAGAGAGATTTTTATAGTAAGATTTGACCTACTTGGTCTGTTTGTATGGGAAGGTCTAATATAGTAAGTTATATGTAGTGCTGACTTCTACAGATGAGCAAGTTGATACCCAGTCATTGACATTCGGTGGGCAGAAAGGGGAAATAACTCGTCTTTGGTCCTCACAAACCAAATTACACATAAGTTGATTTTGCACAGAGATGTTTGGATCATGATATATGGTTCCAGGATTTAAATCACTGCCTTTCCAGATCTTCTGTGGACATTAACAAGCCAGCTATCTCTGTCCTCCTCTTTATTCCCTACTGAAACTTGACCAATACAGTTCTGTATTCTTGTTTTGCCAAGGAAAGATAGTATTTATATGGGAATTTATATAGCTGATCTGTACCTAGTATTAACAAGATTCATCTCCTTTCTCACTGTATAAATTTCTTGGACTTTTGTACTTTTATTTCCTCAGATTACCGTCTGCCATGATTTCTTTTACACTGTTGTTACCTACTTACTAACTTTTCTGGTTATTTTTGTTTTTCTTATTCTTGACATTTTCCACAGTCATTGCCTTCCTATTTTAATTCTTTGCTCCTCCATTCATTCACTGTTGCATTCCCATACATATTTCCCCTTTGCTTTGTCTTTTTCCAGCCTCCCCCACTGGCAGGATTGCCATGAGTTGTGGAGTAAGAAACGGCGACGTCAGCGACAGAGCGGTGTTGTTGTGGAAGAGCCACCTCCATCCAAAACTTCTCGAAAAGAAACTACCTCAGGGACAAGTGCTGAGCCCGTGAAGAATAGCAGCCCAGCACCACCTCAGCCTGCTCCTGGCAAGGTGGAGCCTGGGGCAGGGGATGCAATAGGTCAGTGCTGGAATGGGGCCTTTGTGCTATTATTAAGCATATTTGGCAGGTCTGGAAGGTCAAGTGCAGGAAGTCTGTGTGTCTGTTTTTTAGTTTTTGTCCAGTGAACTATTAGGAAAGAGCTTAATGTCCTCATTATAGGGAAAAGGAGATAAGCCAAGTTTTGTACATATGTTCCAGAAATTCTACAATAGATCATTTTCCTTTCCTGAAGTATGTATGGAACACTGTATCTCAATTAGATTTGTGACATAAATCAGTGAATTAGGTAAGCCAAATTTAATTTAAGGTTAGTATACCTATGACTTTCTAACACATAATTTGGAGTCTTGCTTATATTAGATTTGATAAAAACTTCATAGAATCTAATCATTTTAAATTGCAGTTGCTAAATGTTGTTAGTTTTATAGACTGTTATTTTGATCTAAATGTATCTAAAACTATTTCATATTGAACTAGTATAACAAAGTAGTTCTCCTGTATTACGACCAGTTTTTCAGAACAAAAGATTCTCCTTTTCTGGTTCACTCTCCCTTCCCTCTTTACTTAGAGCAATGGTTCTCAGCACTGGCTGTACATTAGAATCATCCAGGAAGCTTTAAATATAGATATGCCTGTACAATTGCCATATCTCTAGGGATGGGTCCTGAGGCATCTGAATAGGAGAGATTGTAAAATCTCTCCTAGTAATTCTGATGTACAGTAAGGGTTAAAAATCACTGACCTTGAAGAATGCAGGCAAAATGAAGTCAGTTTTTTTTTTTTTTTTTTTTAAAGACAGGGTTTCACCATGTTGGCCAGGCTGGTCTTGAACTCCTAACCTCAGGTGATCCGCCTGCCTCAGCCTCCCAAAGTGCTGAGATTACAGGCGTGAGCCACCACGCCTGGCCATGAAGTCACTTTTATGCGCAAGGCAGAGATGTTTTAGTTATTATTGCCTGTATTTTTAAAGTGAAAGCATAAAGAATAACAAACTCATGACATTTTGAGGTATGAAAAATGAGACATTTAAAATGAAACTTCATTTTTTGGATATTATAAGTTGCTGTTGCCAGTTGAAGAAGGCAAAGGGCCTTTGGCCTGTCTCATCCTCTTATATTGGCTTCACTATCTTTCCACAGGCCTTGGTGACATCACACAACAGCTGAATCAAAGTGAACTGGCAGTGTTATTAAACCTGCTGCAGAGCCAAACCGACCTGAGCATCCCCCAAATGGCACAGCTGCTTAACATCCATTCCAATCCAGAGATGCAGCAGCAGCTGGAAGCCCTGAACCAATCCATCAGTGCCCTGACGGAAGCTACTTCCCAGCAGCAGGATTCAGAGCCCATGGCCCCAGAGGAGTCTTTGAAGGAAGCACCCTCTGTCCCAGTGGTCCTGCCTTCAGCAGAACAGACGACCCCTGAAGCTTCAAGCACACCAGCTGACATGCAGAATATTTTGGCAGTTCTCTTGAGTCAGCTGGTGAAAACCCAAGAGCCAGCAGGCAGCCTGGAGGAAAACAACAGTGACAAGAACAGTGGGCCACAGGGGCCCCGAAGAACTCCCACAATGCCACAGGAGGAGGCAGCAGGTAAACAGACCGGTCATGAATCTCATTGAGCTCAGGTGCTGTTGATCCTCTTAAAGATTTCTTAATTTTTTTTTCCTCCACATCAGTGGCCTTGGTTTCAGTTATTCTGTAACCTAGTCTACAGGAGAACATAGCACCAAGTGATGTATTTCTTGCTTTGCTTCTTTTAAGTTTAAAAGCTTCCCAAAGCACTTTTCCTATACTGATTGTTTTTCTACTTCCCAGGAGATAGGTAAGTAAAGTCCCTGTGTTCTAACCAAGAAAACCACAACTATAGCTAGTGATGCATCTTGAACCACTGTGTGTGGTGGCAAACTAGTCCTAGCACTTGGAAATCTGACTTCCAAACAATCCATTATCAGCCTATACTTCTTGACTTCTAGTGGAGTGGATGCTGAATACCAGTCTTTCCTGGAAGATAGAATCAAGAAAACCCTAATAAAATATCATTGTTAATTTCCTGATGAATAATTTGGGAATATTTCTAAGTAGATAATTAACACTATACATTTCTTTTCCTGAAAATAATAATGTATAAGAACAATTCATTTAAATCTGTTTCTGATAGAAGCAATTGAATGTACCCCAGATCAGGAAGTGAGTATATTATAAAGGAAAAAAAAAATAAAAGAAAAATGGGGATAAGTTATACTTTAGTCTCACATGACCATACCATGCAATTTATTAGAGGGAAAAGCAATTTAAATTCTTTAATTCTGATTCACAGTCTATTTGCAAAATCTCTAAAAGTGTTTTTAACTCCTTGGAAATTCTCACTGTCCATGAAGACCCCATGAATTGGGGAATAAGAAGAGGCTCAAGGGCTGAAAGGTATACTAATCTTCAACTTTAGGGTCCTACATTCTCATTTCTTATGAAATGGTGCAGAAAGTATATGCTTTAAGGCCTGGCCTATGGCCAGAAGTTGTTGGATTTACTTTTCAGAGGAAAGTGTAAAAATGCCATAACTAACTATTGCAGTCACCCCCTGGATTATTCAACTGGTCCCTCTACAGTGGCTCACTTGTTTCTCTCCTGCTGTCTCTATTTGGCCATTTCACTGTTAAGTAGCACTTCCACCAGAGGGCAGACTTTATAAGCCAGAGAAGGTGATAGCGTATCAATTTGACTCCTGTTTTGCTATTCTGTACTTACTGGGAAGGATGATAATTGAAATCTAATGAGTAAAATGAAATGTGTATGTGGGTTTTTGTTTTTGTTTTTTTGTTTTTTTGAGATGAAGTCTCACTCTTGGCCAGGCTGGAGAGCATGGAGTGTAATGGTGTGATCTCGACTCACTGCAACCTCCGCCTCCTAGGTTCAATCGATTCTCCTGCCTCAGCCTCCTTAATAGCTAGGATTACAGATGCACACCTCCACACCCAGCTAATTATGTATTTTTAGTAGAGATGGGACTTCACTATGTTAGCCAGGCTGGTGTGTGTGTGTTTGTTTTTGAGACAGAGTCTTGCTCTGTCGCCCAGGCTGGAGTGCAATGTCGCGATCTCGACTCACTGCAACCTCTGCCTCCTGGATTCAAGCAATTCTGCCTCAGCCTCCAAAGTAGCTGGGATTATAGGCATTCACCACCACACCTGGCTAATTTTTGT